AATGGCTTTTCCCGAATATATTGAACGCGTTTTAGTTCAAATAGAATACAATCGATCCTTTCCTTTTATTCAATTTATAAATTCTTTTTTTTTTTTTTTTTTTTTTTTTTTTTTTTTTTTTTTATCTAAGATGGCTGAGAAAATATTTTTAATTTTAAGAGGCCATTAAACGAACCGAAACGTCATTTTAAATTGCCGAAACGGCTACCTTATGCTTTTTGATAATTATGAACTCTGATAATTTACTTCGTGATGAAAACTGACTGAATAATAATAATATAATCAGAAAATAGCCTTAATTATAGGGATATAAATATCTCTCAGTTCTAGGGCTTCCAGAAAAAAATAGATGGCCGTGACTAATTTAAACAAAAATCGATAGTTTGGTTTGTTACATTAGATAAGCAAGGTTCAGTTAAAATTGTTGACTTCGAATAACGAATTTAATGTACTTCCACCCAAAATTAAGGCATCCAAAAGTACCGCCTTGAACTGTTCAGAAATAAAAAATGTTAGCAAAATGCGGGAGGAATATAACAGTATATGATGGTACACAGTGTGTATCAATTCTTAATGGCCAAACACTGGGAGATGATTCTAGACAAAATTTCCAACAAAAATGTTAATTTGATACATGGGCCGATTAATAACGAAAAAGGGACCAATTTTGTCTTTTTCTTAAGGTGGTGTCGGTTTTTATTGAACTAGAAAGAATCGCTTCAATACTGTTCAAGAAACCTTAATTCTAAGTGAATCATCGTGAATTAGAATTTTTTGAGAAAACAGTGATTAAACTTACTAAGGTCAATGACAAAAGGGATTTTCAAGATGTCTAATACGGCCGCTGTACAGCTCCTGTTACAGTACCCATAAACGAGCAGGATTTCTCAGCACAGCGGCCATATTAGACTTACTGAAAGCCCCCTTTGCCATTGACATTAATAAATTTAACTACTGTCTACTTTACGATAGTTTATTTAGAATTTAATTATCTTGAGTCGTAAACCTATGACTTCTTGTCCTACAGTATTCTTCAATAATACTCCACTTATTCCTGTTGAGCAAACCGCTACTTACGACTCCACTTGGATAAACGACTTACTTGGAATCCTCATACTAGACTGAAACGAAAGAAACTGCTCGTTTCCGACTGCTCCAACACTTACTAGACAAACGCTCAAAACTTTCAATTAATTACAGAATAATTATCTACATAACGATAATAAGACTTCTATGGACATACGGAGTTGAGCTTTGGAGGCTCTACCAAACCATCGAATTCCTATCGTATCCAACCCGTCGTAAAATCCTTATCCTTATCCTTATGCTCCATACTTTGTCTCAAATAAAACCATTAATTAAGACCTTAATGTACCATATGTCGCTGATTTAGCCCGAGCCAGATACTTTTCATGAAAAACTCCAGTCCCATCCCAATCCACTTGTTTCCACTCTTGCTTCTTCCTCGATTCCTGATAATCCTCCTAGGCGTCTGAACAGGAGATGGCCTGGTGATCTTCATACCCAGAATTATTTAGGGAGTGCCATCACTAGGTATTATCTCTTCAAGCCTGTTCATATCATTATTTCTAATTTGTGTATATTTACTAGTTGTATTAGTATACAGTTGTAAATTTCATTAAATAAAAAAAAAAAATCTTGAATAGTTTTTGAGCAATTGCTTCTTATTCAATAAAACACTCGACACCTTTAAAGAAGAAAGGATCACTGAAAAAAAAATTCAATCCAGGTAACTGATAACAGGTAACTAATTACTCTATAGTAAATTTAACAAAATTTCCTTGAAATGCGGATAGAATTCGTTTTGATTAAAATCATTTTAGAAGGACTTTTAAGCAGCTAAACTGTTCGATTTTTCATGAAATCGTGGATTATTCGCGGTATCAATTGTCAGCCTCCTTTTGGACTAAAGATATCTCACTTTTGAAAAAAAACTTCCGTGTTTAGTTAGCTTTAAATTCGTATTATAAAGTTGGGATTCGACACAGAATAAGTTTGACACAGAGATTCGCTGTCAGGTTTATAAAAAAAAAAAAATAAATAAATGTGTCATGTTAAATTGTTTTTCATCAAAGTACCATTATTTCCAACAAAAATATAATAATTATAATCAATAAAAAACGTCTGTCAAGTAAGGTCGGTGTAACTCCATCTCCGATTTTATAGGTTATATCATTTCGAGGTCATTGGTCGTTGGTGAGGTCATTATATCATATTAAGGTCACTGATATATTAACTTTAGTTTGCAGCTATAAAAGTATGGGGGATATGTAAAACAAATAAAAGAGGAACTAGACAGGCTAAAAAGCACGGATAAAGATTACTTGGATATAGAGCGGAAAGAGAGGGAAAAACTGAAAGGGATTGGGGTTCTTTCTTGTATGTGGAAGGGAGAGACGAGGAAGAAAATGAACTAAGGAAGAGCGAGAGGAACAGTCCAGGAGGATGAGAGAGTATTGGAGTAAGAGGAAGGCTGAGGGAGTGAAGAGGAACCGGAAATGACGTGGTCCTTGCTGGCCGGTTCTTGTAAAAAAAAAAATGTGTTTTTAGCTAATTACGTTTATTACATTACATCATATATCATTGAAAATAAGAATTAATTGCTTTTCAACAATTGATTGCAGACATTTTTGCTAAAAACACGGGTACTTTTAAGCGATTATATAGAAAATCAGATCATTTCTTTACACAACTTGAGGGGAATTTCAAATTTTTTTCCTAATAAACTTCGACTTAATTAATATGGACTTAAAGCTTGTTAAACGAGGAAGTTTTTTTCTGAAGTTGGGTAAATTTAGAAGAGTGATAAAAAAAAAATTCACAAACAATTTATGACTATGTTTTAAACGGAACTTAGCTGAGTTTGTACGCTCGACAGTCCACTTTAGATGATTCTAACAATGACGAAATCAAATTTCTTTTGAAGTAAATTTTGCTTCGTTTAGAATGGAGCAATGCTTAATCACTTAAATCAAATGTTTTTTTACGTTATCACTCCCTATTCAACAAAAATAGTGATTCCCTTTAAAAAACACAAATCTTATATTTCCTACTTTTCTGCTGGAAATTGGGCATTTGTTTATATAAAATCTTTTGTAGATCTTAATGTCTACTATCGACCATTTGAATATTTCCTTCTACATACGTGACACCCTATATACAAGGCAGAATGAGGAGAAGAAGCACTAAACGGATGAAACTGCAAAAAAAAATAATCAGAAGAAAATAGAGAGGAATACTTTATTCTACTCGTAAATAAAATTTATCTTTAAAGAAAAAAAAAACATTTGTATTCTTTGAGTTCATGTCGGAAGTCATGATTGAAATCCACCTCATGATGGAGTTTTACCAAACTGAACCAAAATTACCAGATAGTTTGTAACAGCGGCTACAACCTAAAAATACATTTTTTTTTTGTTCAATAAAATTATTATAAATAATTTAATATAATAATATTATATTGTTATTATATTTCTATATTATGTATATTTGGTTTTACCGAATGAATCAGAGCATAGTTGATTGGAAAGAAGCCACAAGCGGTCATCTCCATTCGCTGCTTCATTGAGAAAAAGAGGATCAGCTTTTTCTTATGAGAAAAAAAATTAATAGTATTTTTTATAAGGATTCACTAATAATCTATTAATAATTGTATAAGTTTAGATTTTTTTAAAATTTAAAATAAAAAAATATTTAAAATTTTAACATTGTTAGGTAATACCTTTTTAGAAATTTGATTGGTTGGATCTTCTATTGCTATTGTGTACAATTTTGAATCCAATCTCTTTGCCTGCAAAAAATTGAAAGAATTGTTAGAGTAGTTACACATTATTGCCTTTATTCCTGTTTTCACCATCCTTCAGATAATGCCTAAAATCTGGAATCTACTGTCAGAACGATCAGTGGAGTAGTTAGTATGGCCGTTGAAACTTTTAGGAGTGGTCATGTTAAAAGGCTTACAGAGCCCTATTTTTCGGTGCCCGACTCTCTCGATTGAAGTTAGTATTGGCCTGTCCCCTCTTCAACTGAATAAAGTTATTTTGCGTAAACAGAGCAGGAGTTATGGAATTAATAATTAAAGTGATGGAAAGAATAATTAAAGTATGGAATTATTATATAATTTTTGATAGAGTGCATCTCCCTCAAGCCGTTCAGGTCAACACAAAGGTTTATTATAATTTCGCGCTATTTTATAAATTAGAAACACTTAACACATTCGACGGTCTCAATAGCTGTACAAAATGAAAAATGAACTGATAAAAGTATAATACAAAAATATGTTGTTTTCCATTCAACGTATCCATCGAAGAGGAATGAATCCCCAATATTTTTTTCATCCGAAATACATAATGAAGTAGTATTTGCTCCCAACATAATCAATGAAAGTACTTGTTAATTTTAAATGAGACTATATCGAAGCATTCTAGTTACCTACCTGAGGGAGGTAGTGTGAGGATAGTTGTCTCTAATTAGTCTGTCATACTAATATCTTTTATTTTGAGAGAGGTGCCTAGGAAGAGTTTATATGGGGCAGTTTGCACCATAAAAATTTTAAGAGGAGACATATTTTTACGGGGTTATGAATTTTTGGACGTAACCATACTTTGGTGAGATTTCAGTTGAATAAAACTTTCAAACAAAAGATCAAAGGAAAGAATTAAACTACAATGTTTATGACTTTACTTTTATTTATACTGTATTTAAGAAGAGGACATCAATAAATTTTCTTAGGAAGAGGTGAGCATGCGCTATCGTTCTTTGGAGAAACGGAGGAGTGTGCAACTTTTAGTATTCGATAATATTTTTGATTGAAATTTCCTTAAATGCACTCTGGATACATTTCTCCTATGCTGCCACTCTATAATCGAATTACGTAATTACCTAAATAAATACACTTAAATTGAGTCGTTTCTGCGCCTAAATATAATTTCTAGGATATTCTGTCAGAGTGGGAATTAGTTTTTTTTTCTTTATATGATTTAATAATTATAAAAGTCAATTATTACCTCATCAGACATCGAGTTTACTGCTGAAACGAATCTCCACAGTTGATAACAGCGAGCGAAACAACGACCCAAAGAAAACCACTTTATGGACATGGATTCCATTTCTGGAAGGACGACTATCAAGAAATACAAGTCCAGCGTGGTACAGATAAATATGTTTCCAAAAATGACGAAGGAAGGTTTTGAAAATAATTCATGTATCATCTCAGATATCTCGACGAATGAGGTCGATGCCTCTAAGAAGCCTTCGAAGTCAGGGGAAGGAAGTGAAGATGTCGTATACTTTATGAGGCAAGACAAATAGCTGCACATTGCCACTATTTGCATCTCGACGCAATTAACACACCAGTGCGTCAAGTAAAAACCAACGGCTCTGAGGTAGAGTTGTAAGGCGTCGTCGCTATATTGGTTGTAATTGGCTATAGATGTTGCGAAGATGGTTGCTGCTCTGAGGGCCATGTCCAAAATTATGGTTCTTGTGCAATATTTGAACTATAAAATAATGAAAAATATTTCAGCTTAGCATGCTCAATGTATTATATTCAAATGAATGATCTCATATCAAAGTTGAACATCCGTCATGAAGTTGATTCGCATAGCATTTTCTCTATATTTTGGATGGTGGAATCAGTTTCTATAAAAAAAATACACATTTATATTAAATTTGTTTAGAAGTTTGTTAGAAACGGATTCCAATAGAGTAAGTTCGATTTAAAAGTGAACATTAGCCGTACACTCAATGTCATCGACGAATTCCGATATCGGGACTTAATCTTTAGTAATTGTTGCCTGTTACTTGCGTAAAACTACTTACCTGAGAAAAAAATATTTTATTTATAATTTCAAATACTGAATTTAAAATATTTAAAAGAGTCTTGAACTATTCAAAGAAAAAGTATATGAATTACAAAATACTGCTACAATTATATTATGTAGAAAAGAACTTGAAGGATTCTTAGCGATTTGGATATATATATTTTTAAATTTATATGATTCATGAAGTTTATAACTATATTGAATATTAATACATCAAGTAAATGTGAAAATAGAAATATAATGATATTAATGGGTTGTAAAGAAACTACTCATTGATAGCCCTCTAAATTCGGTGTATTTAAAAAACAAAATAAAATACATTATTTTTGCTTTTCAAAATTAAATATAATTGAAATGTTTTTTATATTTTAAAATGAAAAATATTACAAAATACTGCGAGGTTTGGATTGAACTAAAAAATAGGTTCTCAAAACTATGCAATAGGAACGGAGAAAATTTGGAAATAACATTCGTCGGATCTGGTCGATAACTATTCGATTTTCATCCAAGATATTCGATTAAATAAAAATTGAACATTTTTATATCATGTTTTAACAATAAATATAAGAATATTAAGTTAAATATGACTTTATATTTCATAGATCAGCTATTTAGCTTATGGCTCAAAAGATTAAGACTCATTTAAATCAAAAACGGACATTTACAATAATTTTTTCATCAAAGTTAGACAATTGCCAATTTTCAAAGACAAATCTGAATAACTTTTAAAATCATGTTGATGTCATATCCTTCAAAGATTTAATATATAATGTTTTAATTAAATTATAAGAAAAAGAATGATCAGAATTGGTTTTAACTGAAGCTTTTTAATGAAAATTGGGTTTTATTCTTATTTACGTAAATCGCAAATGTACATCTTTGATATATGGACCACTCTAATCAATTATCTCATTTATTATAGGTTAGGATTGTTGGAATAATACATACATATATATATATATATATATATATATATATATATATATATATATATATATATATATAGAGAGAGAGAGAGAGAGAGAGAGAGAGTAAAACTTCGTTTAGTTAAAACTTTTGCTTATTCTTCCCCTTCTATCCAATCCCATATACATATATATATATATATATATATATATATATATATATATATATATATATATATATATATATATATATGTGTGTGTATATATATATATAAGCCATATAGCGAGTTCATAATATATAATATATTTTTAGTATTTTATAGATAGTAAAACTTCGTTTGGTTAAAACTTTAAAACTTGCTTATTCTTCCCCTTCTATCCAATCCCATATATATGGGATTGGATAGAAGGGGAAGAATAAGCAAAAGTTTTAACTAAACGAAGTTTTCCTATCTATAAAATACTAAATATATATTATATATTATGAACTCGCTATATGGCTTATATAGCCGACGTATGTGTTCTTTATTTAATTTCAATAAATTAAAAAAAAAATTGGGAGAAGCAATTAACATCAAATACATCACTTGCACTAACAATAAATATTCATTTAAATATATAAAGCTCTATGTTATCAGATAATTATAAATTGAAAAAAATTAAGGAAGAGTTGGTAAGAACCTGCACGTCCAACTGAATGAGAAAATTTTCTACATCCAAAACTGTTGCCATAATTTTTGTATACAGCCTACCCATTGTGAAACTGAACGCTACCAAACCTGCAACTGAAATGTAGAGTGAGAAGCAAAGTCCAAAGTACATCTCACCAGCGAAACCATCGAACTCTTCGGCATAGAAATAAAAGAAGTAACTGTTAGCTGTGACTAGACCGAACAGAGAAAGTGGGAAAAGGCTCCAGAAAAAAGAAATGTTGAAATCATTACTAAATGGGAATAGCCCAGAAACTCGACAAATCCAGAAAACTGGGGACATGGCAGCATATAGCCGTGAACTCTCCATTTCCTCGAAGCTACTGAGCTTATCGAACGGTTCAAGTTCGAACCTGGAAGTTGTGCTGCCGCGATGAAAGTGGCGGCAGGCAAAAAGTGACATTACCTGGCGAACTTTAGCAAATTTAATTTATGAAATCAAATTATATTTATAAATAAACACTTTAAACTGAATGTTTCATTAATACATTTAAGCAAGCTTTCTACTGAATAAAGTATTCTTTGCAAGTTGTGTATTTTCTCTTATCCTTGTGTCAATTAAATATGTGACTTATCTAATTACATGAACTTACATGTAGATTAATGTAGTATATTTATATTTGGCTCTGTTTCAGGATCAACATTTTTTTCTTGATTCTTGAATTAGATATAAAGTTGTTAACGTCAATTGGATCTCTGAATTCGTCGATATATTTTTGACTATTGAATACTTCTGATTAAAATATCTGATACACAAGTAAACATGTCTGTAGTCCACTTATTTTATTTTAAATCATTAAACTAGATTTTAATAATTTGATTTTTTTATTTATATATAAAAAAACCATTGCTAGGGACTAGGCAAAACAATTAATCTGTTAATTTTAAGTTGCTTAAGCATTAAAAAAAATAGTGAAAAGTATTTAAAAAAATGAATATAGAATAAATAACTGAAACATATAAAAGTATCATTGCTAATCAGATATATTATTAAAAAGTAGAGAAAAATGATTTAAATTTAAAATCAAAAGTAATCAAACTTTCCTTTATTACTAATATAGGAAAAAAGATAATAATTCGTTCTCACTTATGGCGTTTAAAAATAACTAAATTTTAAAAATAAAAATAATGTTCATTCATAAATATCGTTTTTCGATGGTTAAATTTTATTATTGTAATGATTTATTTATTACAACCTTACCCTTCTATGAGCATGGTGTTTGACGTTACACACGTTTGGATAACATTTTAATGCTGCATATAAACAACAATAATATATAACAAATGAACAAAATTAATATACAAAAAATAAACAACAATAATAAATAATTTACTTCTCTTTTTTTTCTTCAGTATTCATCATCTTGTACAGTTTCTCTGCCCAGTCGGCTTCCCAATCAGTAGTGTATCTTCTACGCCTAATGTTGAAGTGGGCTAAGCCAATTGCGCTTGTATAGCCAACTTCCACCCGTATATGAAATCTTTGAAGAACGGATAATTTTCTACAATAACCAACTGTGGAATGTTGTCCTCCGTAAGGACATAGATTGCGGTTTTCCTCTGCAGCCTAGCTCTTTGTGTCTCAAAGACGGTGCAGCCGACAATGATATGCCCGACAGTCTCTGCCATGGCATAGAGGATTAATATCCATGCTTGAATGAACTGTGTTGGGGTCAATATATACAAGTATGCTAAAGTAATAGGAACAAGACAATTGGATAGACCGATAACAATATGCATGCTGACCCTAGAGGAAGATAGAGGGTCAATTCAATTACCCAGACGAAAAAGTTGGTCATGCAGAAGAACGAGGGGAAATGGTGATCTGACTGAGCTTTGAGAAGAAGAATAAAAACAATTTTTTTTAGGACATTTAATAACAAAAGTTTTTAGTACTTTTGTTCAACAAAATGCTTTTAGCCTCCGTTAACAAAACTTATGTAATGATTATTTAAGTTTTGTTGATGTCGACTTCATCTATAAAATTAACTATAAAGTACTTTTATGCTTCAATTAATTGCTTTATAACTCAAGGCTGTTTCATAAAACACTTATAACAAAATGAAAAACGAGCAAAAAGTAAGATCCACATAAACGCCAATTCCCTTCTTAAATTTATCAATCTTATTAAAAAGTGCATGTTCTCTTAATATAAGATCTAACTTAATTTATTTATCAAAATGAAAGTCAATAAATAACTTTTACTTAAACTAAGCGAACAAACTCACTACATAGTATATACCATTAGTTTAGATATCTTATGAGCTTTTGCTATATGGCAAACAGGTCGCTGCTATTTTAGCTCCTAAAACAACCTTATCTGGGCACGGTAAAGGTTATAAAATCAAACTAAGTTAGTGCTGGTAGAGTTGAAGACTGAGTTTTATGATGAATAACAAGAGGACAAAACGAAAAAGCTATTTTTTGAGTGCGAATCCTTCAAAGAAAAGGAGAAATGATTTAATGCCTGGTTTGAAAGGTTTTATATGCACCTGCAATGGCAATATGAAAGGGTGCATATCAGAAGCATTGAATATTTTGGATGAATATGATTCTAAAATGAATCCTGAAACGAATGTAAATTTTATTAAATCACTGAGTACAATTATCTAAAGTAACTGTTTGTTTAAGATATTTTACTTCTATAGAATTCTGATGAAATTGAGGACAGCGAAGATATTGAAAAAGCGCTGATGAAGGAATTGAAAAATGAAAAAGAACAAAAAAAAGAGGATAAGAAATTCAGAGTCATTGAAACTGGAATTAACAACTGCATTTTTATAGGAACGACTGTAAGTTATGAGTTCAATAGCAATCAGTTTTGAAAAATGTGCGTAAGGTGAAGTGAGGTAAGTGCAACCATGTTTATTTTTTTCATTTTAAAACCGTTACTGTGAGGTTACTATTAGGAATATGGAAATACCACTCAGTATTTAGAATTATCTGGCTATAATATCCTGCAATTATTTTTAGAGTCTTTTCATCTCAAATACATTATCTCCCTACAAAATGCAAGTTCTTCTTTTTGGTAGTAAACTTGGTTTAAACCCAGTGTCCTACTTTGAATGAATATTGCCTCTAAAAATATGATTTTTCTTTTTCTTCTTCATTGTATTGTTCTTCTACTTCTCTTATGGAACTTCAAGTTCTGGCAGGTCACTTTTTCTTGGATACTCCAAAGCTTTGGTTTTATTTCAGTGACAGTTTGTATCTGTTTTTTGAATGAAATAAATCAATCTTCAGAAATTCCATCCTTGAATGGAGTTTTCAAATTATTGCTTTTCACAAATTCTGCAACAATGTTTGTATTGGGTTGTCTGGAAAATAATGCAGATTTTTGAGTTTTCTTTATAACATTCCTCTATATAACAAACTGTTTACTTATATTGGATTATTCATTTGTATGAATGTCAACAATTACTAATCCTCTTCCAAACGATGTTTTTTACCTTTGGAACATTTTGCTCCTTAGAAATAATTCAGTCTTTACTAAAATGTCAACGCATAATTTTGTTTTCCGAGTTTAAATTGGGCCCAGACGGCCAGAAATGTAAATCAAGTCGGGGGCGATAGCAGGATTAATGAATGCACTGTTCAACATTGGTTCAAAATGTTTGGGGAGGGAGACTTCAGATTTGAAAACAAAGAAGGTCCGTGGAAGGACTTCCTCTCTTGATGACGATGTTCTGTGGGCTTTGGTGAAAGAAAACCCTAGAACAACTGTTCGAGAACTTGTAGAGGATCTTAACCTTTGCATATCGATGACCACCTCAAGGTGATTGGAAAAAAGCTTGAAAGCTGGATTCCACACACATTAAACGACCCCCCCTCCCCAAAAAAAACCCCAAAAAACAGTGTTATAAAGTTTGTGCTACACTTCTTTGCCAAAACAAAAACTACCCTCATCTGTCCAGAATTGTTACTTGTGATAAAAAGTGGATACTTTACGATAACAGTAGATGTTCTGGACAGTGGTTCGACAAAGGCAAAACAGCAGAACATTTTCCAAAGCCCCCCAACTCATCTAAAAAACGTGATGGCTCCTGTGTAGTGGGCTTCATTTAGTTTGATGCACTACAGCTTCTTAAATCCTGGAGAAACCATCAATGCTGAATCGTATTGTAACCAAACTAATGCAATGATATTGGCAATAACAAAGCCATCTTTGGTCTATCAGAAGGGGCCCATTTTGTTGCATGTTAACGTCCGGCCATATGAGGAAACAAAAACTGTTGGAACTTGGATATGAAACTCTGCCACATCCACCCTACTCTCCAGACGTATCACCTATGGATTATAATTTTGTTAAACTACTCAATCACTGCTTACGTAACAAAAAATTTAATAGACAAAGGGAATTTGAAAATGCATTTTTGGAGTTTATCAAATCTGAAGATGGGAAATTCTATTCCGAGTGAATGCAAAAGTTGCCAACACGTTGGCAGAAATGTATTAGAGTAGTAGTGGAGACTATTTTTATTAAATAAAACAGTTGTAAATCTTTCTTTTTTCCTTCATTATTTTTAATAATCCTTCACTATTTTCCGGACAATTCAATAACTGCTTTTCTGATCTACCCGAAGCCCCATTTTCCCTTGTTATAAGTTCTTCAGCTAGTTTTTTCTCTTGCCCTTTTGGAATGGCAGTTGTTCTCCCTTGAAAACTGGTTTTTCCCCTTCGCTCATTTCTTCTTGTCTGAAGTGTAGAGTATGGTATTTCATACTTTTCAGCAGCTTGATATAGAGCAAGACAGATTCGATTTATTTCATCAAGGACATTGGCCTCACTGAAGTATGAAGCTCTTGTGTCTCACCATTGTTATTGATTTAATTAGGCTAGGTAGGTTAGGGTATATCTCTATCAATGAAAAATTAAGCTTCTATACGTAGAAGTAGCATGCATTAATTAATCAAGAAAAAACATTAATAAGCAAATAAATGAAGACATAAGAGAAAGTTTTATTATGGAGCTGAAAACTGAAAACTACACATTAAACTTTTTAAAAATAAAAAGTTGGTTATCCTGGGTTGAAAGTCAAAAATGCCCAATATCATGGTCGAACTTTCACTGACTGAAAACATAAGCATTTTTAAAGAACAAAAAAACAATAGACATATATAAGCTGAGTGGACATTTAAAGACAATGTTCTAAAACTACAAACCAAGTGTTGTTTTTTTTCTATAAAATAATAATTTTTTAGGACAAAAACCAGTCTTGACGATACTTGTCCCATGGTTGCACTTACTCTACTTCACCCTATATGTATTTATTATTATTTGGGATAAGAATTTTGATTAGGCAAGAGTAGGATAAATCTGAAAAGGATGGTTTGCCTACATTTTAATTTTTTTTTTATTTTCTTAATAAATTGTTATATCTAAGATAATAGAAAATTAAAATTTTGAAGAAAAAAGAGTATTCTATGTATGAATTGAAAACTTAATGGTAGGCAGACGTCTCTTTTATATAGGTGTTGTGCCTTTATTTCAAAATACCTCTGAAGCATCTCAACCATAGCTAATTATTTTTATAATCTATTAGAAAAAAGATCAACATAATTTGTATAATTTTCAGGTCAGCAATTCTGTTGAGATAGTTGAAAAAATTGCAAAAGATATTAAATGTACAAAAGTATCTAAGAGTAAAAACCTCATTCGAATGCTGCCTGTGGAGATAACTTGCAAGGTAAAGATTAGTTATTAGTCTCTTCAAAATCTACTTAATAAAAACTATAGGTGTAATACCCAATAGAATTGCAACATATTTTTTCTTTTCTCAATTCCTTCCCTTCTTTTCTAATTTCAAGCTTTAATATACTGAAGTCAAATGACTGTGTGGAGGTAGCACCTGTAATGAGGTAGTCAGGTCATTCATGCTTTCCCCCCATATATTCATCTAAATTTTTAAGATGGACCTGGTACATATTATGCCAAATTTAAAATACTTAATTTGTGTATTAAATAACAATAAAAATGTGTGGAAATAGATATTTATTTATTTATTAACCAAACAAAAAATGTAGAACTTTAGATTAAATTTGCAATCTGCAAATTTCTTTGCAATGAGCAAATTTTTTGCCAGCTTCACAGCTTACCATCACGTCCAGGATATAAATCAGAACAGCAGGTCTCTTGGCCAATGCCTACGTAATTGTTGTAATGGGCTGTGCGGGTTTCTTGTACGATGAAGGATTTCTGTCAGGAGATTCATGTTGTACGTCAGTCTTTGGTGAAAGTTATTGTAGTTCTCTTTTGCAGTATCTAAAATTGTAGGTATGTTTAAGTCTTTATGTAATGTATCATTTGCGACATAAAACGGTGCGGAAATAGATATAAAAGTCAGTTTAATCATAATTTATTTACTTTATTCATTTTCCTACTGAATTAGATTATTTTCTTGAAAAAATTGTCCCATTAGTATGAAAAGGGTTGGAGCATGCAATGTATTCTATAGAAAAAAGGTGTTCTGAAATACATCTATTGATCTTGATAATCATTTCAATTTTTGTTCAGTTGTCTTCAAAACCTTACTCATTTGTTTTTTTACTTGACATTTTATGAAATGTTCTTAGCATTAAAACTCAACAGGTATATGATCCTAAGCTGCAGCTTATCTTCATAACATTCATCATAACGAGTACTTTTGTCTAGTGAATTTTGTATTGAAAAAAATATTATTTGGTGATAATACCAATGTTATCTTTCAATATTTAATGCTAACCGTTTAAATTTTTTTCTGATTGAGTTGCTAAAATAATTCAAAAATTGTTAGTACAGTGGACTATTTCGCTATCTGCAAACAGAGACTTAGATTTGATTTTTAGGATAGATATCAAATTCTGGTGTCGGAAAACCGTTGTGGGTAGACAAGTCCGAAAAGTAGGGTGGATGATTGTTAGTATGGACAGTCTTTCTTAATTGTCAAATTTTGAAATTATCGAATACTTCTATAGAAACAAATTACTATTTTAGTTTTTAAAAAACTCAGTTTTTCCTACGGAAAGTATAGAACGGAAACAGAAAGTTTTCTATTCATTTCTATAATAGTTTTCTTAAATTTTCTTTAATCAAAACCATCAATAGAAGTTGTTGCGATCTATAGAAGATTGTTTTAATTATCTTTGTTGCTAAGGCAGAAATCTAACTTACTAACTTTTGAATCCATTATTTAACATTTGATATATCTTACTTGTTCTAATCAATCCACTTTTGTTTTTGTTCTTTGCAGGCATTCATGGAGGACATCAAGAAAGCAGCTTGTAGTATATTTGAAAGACACTTTAAATGTGACCCAGTTCCTTTTAACATAATTTTAACGTAAGTTAATTGAAATTGTGGACTGATACTTTTTTTTATTGGATGTTGTACACTCTAAAGCTTGTTAATTGCTAAAATTATTTTTTTTTTTTACAGATGAGTTAAAATTTTGTTTTGAATTATATTATAAAATATCTGACTTTTTCTATGTATTTATGTTTCAGAAAGAGGAGTAATAGTAATTTAGATCGGATGGAAGTGATTGAACAACTTGTTCTTCTTGTAAAAGATAGAAATTTGAATCATAAAGTAAACTTGAACTCACCAGTGAAAAGTGTAATAGTGGAAATAATCAGAAATATTTGTTGTTTGTCAGTCATTGATCATTTTCATGATTACATGAAATTCAATTTGATTGCTCTTGCATCTAATAAAAATATTGATACTTAAATGTTTAAGTTTGTATAATTTTAATGCAATGAATTTTTAAAATATTTGTTTAATAAAATACATCTTTTTTTTTTTTAATGTTACTTTAAACCTTTCATTTTTCCATGAAACCCTATTATTAGTGCTGTGCCTGGTAGTAGACAGTTCCAGGATATATTTTTAGTACTCAGCGTTTACCTGGAACTTGGTTTTCAAGTTAAACTGGGTGATACCTGGGGCTTGCTAATCTTATACTAATAAATTTTCTAAATTCTCAATAATTCATAATGTACAATCCAGTATTTCTTTTTTTAATTTAAATTGTTATTTCTTTTGAAGGGAAGCATGGTTGGGGTGATCAGTCAAAATAAAAATAGCAAAAATAAATAATAATATTTATAAAATATATATATATATATATATATATATATATATATATATATATATATATATAAATATTATTTATTTTTCTATTTTTATTTTGACTGATCACTAACTGACAATTGTTATTTCTTTTATTTAAGAAATAATATTTTTGTAACCATGAATTAATTGAGATTGAACTTGAATAAGCTACGAAGCATTTGTTCTGGATAATCATAATGTATCGGTGGGCACCCGGAATACACATAAAAAATTTTAAAACATAAATTTAAATTTAATACTTTAACACTTTTTATGGAGGGAAGGGGAGAGAAACTTGGCAGTTAAATATGGATGCTGATCACGATATCTCCTTGTTAAATAGTAGGTCCTTGCCTCTTACTGCATGACCACACATGAACATAGCAAAGTCATCAATATATTCCAATAAGGAAGAGTATTGTTATATTTTATATTAAATACATTTTTTTGTTAATAGTTGTACTATTAATTAAGGTGGACTGAAAGTTATTATTTGATGTTTGATAGTTTTTTAAATATCATCTCTTAATTTAGGAATATAGAGTCTACTAGCTGATGTACCCATTGACAGCTGTATAATTAAAATTTACCTTTTTTTTTTTTAGATGGATTTTGTACTATGGGAAGTGGGGAGGAAGGGGTTCCAAATTCAATTTCATAAAATTGGATTGGGAGGGAGGAGGGGGGTGGTTTTGAAATTTTTTATGGCAGGGCTTATGGAAGTCAAGGTTTCGCAATAGTCATAACAAAAACTTTGTTATTCGGCTATTTTTTTAGGTATCACACAACTAAACCGACCATCACCGATCCATCAAAATTTGTTAGGTATTTAATTTTCAGTTATGATAAAGCGAGGAGATTATGGAGTCAATTAATTAATCAAAAAGAGTTGTAGTCTCTCCACTCCTTTAAACTCTGCTGAGTTTATCACTGGCAAAATAACATTGGACATTGAGTCACCTATATCCCTGTAAAATTAGAACTTGATCTGAATATTGTGATGGGCGGGGTGAAATTTTTGGGAGTTTTTTTCCTGATTTCTGGCTAATCCGTTAATGGTAAAAATGTATACGACAACATTTGTTAGGCTCGGGAAGTTGAATTGAATGACACCTTGAATGGGAAGATCGGACAAAGTTAAAAAATTAGTGTGTTTTATCCGTTTTATGCGACGAGTTACAGATGTTCGGTATTCCGGATTTGTCCTGTTGAGTTGTGATAATTTTTTCCATCAGTTGAGTAGTACAACTTTTAAATGTGGCTCGCAATAGAGTAGGTTGGGATGGGAATCGAAGTAAGTAACTGCCTAACCGGGATCTCTAGACAAATTACTCAAGAATTCAATAACTTTGGTTCTACTCAATATTTTGTTTTCATTTAAAGCCTATATTTTAAGTCAAGCAAACCTAAATGTAATGTCAAAATTTCAAAAGTCTACCATTAGCCATTGCTGAGCTTACCCATGACAAAATTTCGTTGGACAATGTGGACATCCAGACACAAAAATTTTTTTAAAAGTGGATTTAGTGTCTGTAATGTATAAAACGGGTCGTTTCTTTTCAATGTTCATACAAAACCTTTATTTTATTTATATAGATGTTCTTTAACCTATAAACATATGTTTATTATTAACATTAACCGAGACCTCTAGACAAATTACTCAAGAATTCATAACTTAGGTTGTACTCAATATTTTGTTTTCATTTAAAGCCTATGTTTTAAGTCAAGCAAACCTTAATATAATGTCAACATTTTAAAAGTCTGCAATGAGCTATTGCTGAGCTTACCCCTGACAAAATTTCGTTGCAATGCAGACACACAAACAATTTTTTAAAAGTGAATTTGGTGTCTGCCATGTATGAAATGGAAATATATCATAAAATGGGTTGATTCTATCCAATGTACAGACAAAAACCTTATTTTATTAATATAGATTTTTTGTTATCTATACAATGAAATATGCTTATTTGTACAAATATGTTAACTCACCTTCAAAATCATATGTTTACCACAGTGTCTTTATTTTTAATATTAAGAATTTTTATTATGAAAAATTTACATGCTTCTTTATTCTAATATTAACATTAGGCACCTTTGTAAATTAATGTATTTTTAATTGTCGTTTAATTATTCACAATCCCCAGCCAATTGTCAATTCTCTGTTCATTGTAGTTAATCCTAGAGGACTAAATGTCCCAAAATAAAATTTACTCTTTCTTTCTTTTTTCGGATCCAAATTTATAATAAATACTCTGAATATTTATCTGCTAATTGTTCTCATAAATGGTTAATCTATTGCTTTGATTAGATGTTTTCCTAAGTTAATTATTTAATGTTTTGAAATTTAATTTACTTTTTTTATTTTATATATTATTTTTTTTTCTTTTTCGTCAATATGTTAAAATATTTATTTAATGTAATTAAATTTGGTTGAATGATTAAAATAGACTAATGGCTTTGCTATTTAATGGGTTATAAACAAAAAAAAAAAAAATAATAATGACACATTTATTAAGAAGAAAAAGTCCAAATAGAAGTTTCAGAAAATAGATAATAAATTATTCCATAAGTGGGACCAAGGTAGCAGGGCCCTAACAATATTTTATGAGATAACTATTTGTATAGGTCAGTATGAATGTGACTCCCTAGAGTTTACAATAGAGAACACAGAAAAATATAAATAATTAATAAATATTTTTTTATTTATTTACATCCCTGCCGTGCCTGATAGGCAATACGGGATTTAGCAGCAATGAGATGTTAAACGTTTCCGCGTAACAACACACTGCTGCTAGAAAAATAATATTTATAGACAAATAAAAACTATTTAAAGGGTGAAGTGATCGCGTCCGGACAGTTAGTCCACGTGCCCCCTGGATAACCCGTAAACACGGTAAGTAAACGATCACATTTATCGCCAACTCAGTCCAATATACAAAGCAAAACATGCCCAGGCCCTATCAAAAACGGCCAAATGCTCGCAAGCTTTCTAAAGACTTAGGCAAGGCTCAACTCAAAGCTATCTTTTGGAACGCAGGCGGATTAACCAAAGATAAATTCACCGAATTGAAACGTATAGTGACAGAAAGTGATGTAGACTTATGTGCGATCGTCGAAGCAGGAGCGGCAACTGAAAAACCTGAGATGCACCGAATTCACGGATACCAAACATATTTCCTCCAAAGAGCAAGACAAGTTGCATCTGGTATACCTAGCTGTTAAGGCATCCATCGTTACGGATATGAAAATTAGGAAACGGCAAGATGCAAGTGATAAATCCGAGGCTCTGGAAGCAAATTTGTGGTATGGCAAACGGCACTTCCGAATATTCGTAATGTATAACCCTCCTCAAAACAGACCGGACCTCACATGGTTGGAAAGGAACTGGAATGGAGAGAGTATACTATATGGAGACCTGAATGCCCCTTCCACTATATGGGGATATAATAACACTGATACTGTAGGCAGAATATTTGAAGATTTCCTTAACTCAAACCCTGCACAATATATTCGAAATGAGACAAAACGTCCAACCTTTCTTTCTTTCACTGGCAGTACTTCCTGCCCTGATGTTGTATTGGCGCACACCTCAATCTCTGATAACATAAAACATACCCTACTACCAGCTATAGCAGGTTTCGGACACAATATCCTTGTGGTTAACTTTAACCTGAATCAAAATAATAATAGCAAGACCAAAGAACCGCAACTGCCACGATGGAATTTAAAGAAAGGAGACTGGAAGCTTTTCAGAAAATTGACAGATGAACTCATCACTGATAAATTAATCATAAACGGCAACGTAGATAAAACATATACTAATATAAAAGGAAATTTATATAGGTGTGCCCTGAAGACTATTCCCCGAGGAACGGTACGAAAATATCGTCCTTTCTGGAATGAAGAACTGCAAAAGCTAAAAGAAGAAAGAGATGATTTTAGAAAAAGAGCTGAGAGCTCCAAAAATCATGCAATTATAAGTTTACTTAAAAGGAAAACAGCTATATTTAAAAGAAAAGTTATTTCAGCTAAACAAAACTCATTTAGAACGTTCCTACAGAAAATGGACTTTAGAAAAGATGGAGTTAAGGCACATGAATTTCTTTCAAAAATAAATAATAAATCAAACTTAGCAAACCATCCAATAACTTTCGATGGGAAAACAATAAGCAAGCTAAAAGAAATAGCTAACTCCTTCTGCAAACACTATTCAAAAGTAAGCAATTACAAGCCAAAAAAAGAAAACGGAAATCCAGTCACAAACTCCACACATTGTTGTGTAATGAGTGAAGAAGATTATACACTATTCTGGGGAGATATCCAAACGCAAGAACTAAATGATGCTCTTACTAAATCTAAGAAAGGTAAAACCGCAGGCCCAGATGACATACTGTCGGAATTTCTTATACACCTGGGGGATATGGCCAAAGAAACAGTACTAAAATTTTTAAATGATGTCTGGAAAACACATATTCCGTGTGAATGGAGGAAAGCAGAAGTGGTACCAATCTTGAAGAGAGGAAAAAAAGGAGCCATGCCGGAAAATTTCAGACCCATTGCATTAACAAGTACTTTCTCCAAGCTCTACGAGAGAATCGTTGCAGAAAGACTTGAGAAATGCATAGAGAAATATGATCTAATATCTTCTAAACAAGCTGGCTTCAAGAAAAATCGAAACACAATTGAACAAGTAGCTCGTCTAACACAAGAAATAAAAAACGGCTTCCAAAGAAAACAGAGCACCCTAGCAATATTCGTAGATTTTAAGACGGCATATGATAGAGTTTGGAGAAAGAAGCTAGTGAGTAAGCTTGTTGACAAGGGAGTCACAGGATATCTGCTCAAGACTATATCTTCTTTCTTACATCAAAGGCTTATAAGGGTGCGATATAAAAACGTTGTCTCGACATATCGCCAAACAAAACAAGGCCTCCCACAAGGCTCGGTGCTGAGTCCCTTCCTGTTTAACATCATGATTGATGATATTACGGAACTCACTGAAACTATTCCGGGTACAAATGCCCTGCTGTACGCAGATGACCTCGTCATTTGGGCAACAAGTAGTGACTTTAAAGGTCTAGAAAATCACATGCAACATGTACTTAAATTACTAGAGAAGTGGGCCAATGAAAACGAGATGATCGTTAATTCCGAAAAGACGGAATTCCAACTTTTTACCCTCTCTACCAAATCACACGAGATCAATTTGAACCATAATAACGAAGAGCTCAAACGCACAGAAGAAGCTACATATCTTGGAGTGAAATTGGATAAAAGACTCTCTTGGAATAAGCACATTGAAAAACAAATAGAACAGGCTTCAAAACGACTTTCGTTAATACAGAGGTTAGGTGGCTCAAAATGGGGAGCAACGGGGGATGTTATGGCTCTTACCTACAAGACATATGTCCGCCCTGTTATTGAATATGGAGCAGAACTTGTTATCACTGCTTCGGACGCGATATTACACAAGCTCGACATAATCCAGAATCAAGCCCTTAGACTCGTGACAGGAGGGAGCAGATCAACCCCAATATCTGCGCTAGAATTACAAACAGGCATAGTACCTCTTGAGACACACCGGGAGCAACTGGCCATTACGCTCTATGAAAGGCTAAAACGTCTTAAGATCAACTACTGGAGTACCTATGAACCCGCACCTGAACGCCTTAAAACTCAAATTACTTTTACTAAGGCAGTGGAAGATTTGATAGAAAGAAAAGGACTAGAATTAGCTGAAAGGGAGCCACTCCCGTCATTGACACAAGTTCCATTCACCAGCCAATTTGTTGTTCACTGTGATCTTCTTCAGAATGTTTCTAAGGATACAACACCAATTTACGAACAAAAGGCTATAACCCTAGAAACCATCGGAAAACGATTTCCAGAGACAGAATGGCTCCATGTATATACAGATGGTTCTGCACTGGAAGCACGCAAACATGCCGGAGCTGGTGTTTATTCAAAGGAGTTTCAACTTGCCGCCCCGGTCGGAAAGGTAGCCACAAACTTTGAAGGGGAAGTGAAAGCCATTCTCTTAGGCCTTGAGATGTTAACTGAACGGAAAGACAAGAAAGTGGCTTTCTTTGTTGACTCACAGGCAGCCATTTTGTCCCTAAAAAATGGATATAGTATAAATCCAAATGTTCCTAAATGCCATCAATATTTGAACCAATTAAAGGAAAATGGGACAGAAGTCGCTTTCCAGTGGATACCAGGCCATTGCGGGCTCCACGGAAATGATGAAGCTGATAAACTGGCCAGAATAGGTTCTGGAATGATCCAACCCGATATTCCTCTGACCATGGATTCAACAAAAAGAATCATAAAGCAGACCCTCCAAAGTTCACTGAAAGCGAAATATGTACAAACAATTGAAGGGAAACGATGGAGTGGATTGCTGGAAGAAAGTGGCAGGATTCCTAGAGACCTCCCTAGAGGGCAAGCCGTGGCATGCTTTAGAATGCTGACAGGCCACGATTTCCTTCAGAAGCACCTCCACCGCATCGGTGTAAAAGATAGCCCGACATGCCCTCTATGTTCCTTAGACATAATGACAGGAGAACATCTGGATACATGCCCTGCATTACAGGACATAAGATGTTGCTTTAATGAAATGGACAGCTATTATACTCGGAGAGCAAATTGTATTGGACTGCAAGAGCACGCATGGCTAACGAAGCAGGCGTTACTTAGGCGTAGGAAAAAAAAAAAAAAAAAAAAAAAAAAAAAAAAAAAAAAAAAAAAAAAAACATCCCTGCCATGCCTGATAGGCAATACGGGATTTAGCAGCAATGAGATGTTGAACGTTTCCGCGTAACAACACACTGCTGCTAGAAAAATAATATTTATAGACTGGTTACATATTTCGACTACATTTCTTCTAGGTTTGGTCACGGTCTTCTGCTACTCCTTCCGGCGGCCTTCCAGCTCTTCTTCCCAAAGAGAAATGAGTTGGGCCTATAATGGATTTCCATTTTGCAATAAAATCTTTAAAATGAGGAATATTACAAATTCTTCCTATTCTTGATGCTACTAAATGGATCTATTGTTTGTTATTTACTAATAATTTTTTATTCTTATACCACTAACTTTGTACCTATAGTTACAATAATATCATGATGTATTTACATATTATTCATTATTTAAATACTCTGATATTTTATATTGTCAGATTCAACTTACTTTTTGTTAGAAGAAACACAGAGCTTATTTTAAAAAAACTTTATGTATTTTTTTTCTGTATATTTATAATATTTTACCATTTTACAAAGTTTTAAGTGTTATGTAATAGCTTGTTTAACTAATGTTTTCTTTACTTTTTTTTTTTTTTATTTAGGCCAGATGTAATCTTTTAATTTTGTTATTTTAAAGAGATCTAAGAATCTGAAGATGGATTTATGAACGATGAATGTTATTCATTACAACTAATGGTGCATTTTCAAGTTTCATAAATATTGTTAGCAATATTAAATCTCAAGGACAATTTTAACAAATAAATTGGGAGATTTAAACGAAAGGGACAAACCATTTATTATGACTGAGATACATTCATTTGATTTGAAATATTTCTAATTCTTTAAACTTAAACTAAAAATATTGTATTAAGAAAATATCACCTTTTTTCCTATAAGCCAAATAGTATTTTTATATTATGGCATGAGAGTAGTATTTAGAGAATAAATATTTGAATTTAGCCATACACAATTGATTGTTTCCCAAACTTCAAAGGGCAATTGCTATCAGCAGAAACCATTAGCTTACATCATAGGAGAGGTGACTCCACACTTTTCCGAATGAAAAGGTGATAAACTGATCATTTTTTATTTTAAAATTTTTATTTAAACCAACCTAAGGCTTAGATTAATTTAATATACTGAATAATTCACAAATAAAAAAGGTTGTCAGTTGTGAGAACTGTTCTCAACATAAAAAATCTTAACATAAAATATTTAAAAAAATCAATATCGAACGTAAATGATAAATAGTTAATAAAATGAATAACTTGTAATCACAGAACAGATTTTATTAAACAGACATTTTTAATGATGCATAAAATTTGGTAAAAATGTGTATTACCATTTAAAATCACATTAGTTTCCCAATACCTTAAACACAATGTAAAAAAATAAACTTTCTTTTTGAACTATGAAACAAGCAGTTATAATGCTATCATTATTAACTCTTATATTACGAGAAATCTAACTGGGGTACGATCCATCTTTATATTACATTAGTATTTTAAACATCCCATTCTATTTTTGGCTAGCAAATTTATCAACAAATTTTCTTAATTTATCAGTATCTTGCAGTCCAACAAGTCGCTCTTCGACTTTTCCATTTCTAATAGCAATAAGGACAGGAACTGAGCCCACCTAGAAAGAAGTGTCAGTGAATTATATTTCAACTAGCAATGGATTTAAATAAATTAAAAATAAAACTTACATCATAATCAAGAGCAAGTTCTGAATTTTCATCAATGTCCACTTTGGCTAGGACAACTTCTCCCTTTGTCTCTGCAATTACATTCTCTATTCTAGGAGTAAGAGCCTTACAAGGGTTGCACCATCTAAAAAATGTCAATGCATTATGTCCGAATGATGAATGAGATTAATATAGATATATTTAAAAACATAAAATCCTACGTAGCGAAGAAGTCCACTATAACAGGTTTCTTGCTGTTTTTCACACGCTCATTGAAGTCATTTAAATCTTGAACTTTAAATGATTCTCGGCATTGGGTGGATACACTAAAATTGATTTTTTGGATCTGCCATAATGGCACTTTACGAATGGTTTTGAACATGTTAAATTATAAAACGCTGGTAATCAAATGAATTCAAAAGGGCACAATACATGAAACCTCCACAGATGTTATACGCAATCAGCTGCTGATTGATAAGAACTCAATGTTGCCAATGAATGGCTTTCTTATTTTTTTTTTTTATATTTTATTTTAATTATAATATAGTTACTAAATTTCAACAATTAGCTATGCGTCACATTGAAAATTGTCTAGAAAATGGAAATGTAAAGTAGAAGTAATTAATTCATTTAAAAGTAATTATTAATGGTATTTTGCCATGGTTCTTATCAGATAAATGAAAGAAGTTTTAAAATAGAAATTTGAAATGATAACAAGATTTGAAAATCTTCTTATAGTTATGTAATTCACAAGTACTTAATACTACGACTTCATTGATATGGTATCACTGATAGTGGTGTGACAGGGAGTCTGACATTTGTTTAAACTCGGTTAGTCTCTCAGGAGACGTTTCCCTCAGTAGTTGGGTTGTTTATGTCTTTATCTGAGTATTTATTCTAATTAATATTATAGTCTTATTATGTCAGAGAACAAAAAAAGACCTGTTAGAGTTTGGTGTGATGGATGGTAAGCTCAAAAATTTTAATATTTTTTTCATGTTTATAAAGAAGTATATTTTAATTTGTTTTTTTAGTTATGACATGGTTCATTTTGGGCATGCTAATTCTCTTAGACAAGCTAAAGCTCTAGGGGATGTGCTTATTGTCGGTATACATTCAGATGAAGAAATTGCTAAACATAAAGGTCCTCCTGTCTTCACTCAAGAAGAAAGGTATGTATCAGTGTAAAATCATTGACTTCTATTTATGTAGTTTTACAGTAAGAAATCATTTGGCTATTGTTTTAGGTACAAAATGGTCAAAGGAATAAAGTGGGTGGACGAAGTTGTAAAAAATGTGCCTTATATAACTACGTTAGAAACTCTCGACAAATATGACTGTGATTTTTGTGTACATGGAGGTATGTTTTCTTATTTCTACTTGTTGTAAGCTAATTAAACTACATGGTTTTACATTGCATGAGTTTTTTTTGTTATCGTAAATTGTAAAATAATTAGGAGTATGAAGATCTTCATTGCCATATTTAGATTTTTTAGAAATCTCGTGTATGTATACTCCTTTGTCTGATAGATATAATGAAAATTTTTCATTAGATTTTGTGAAACAAAAATTTGATTTTTGCCAAAAATTACTGAAACCATCGATTCATAAGTTTAACTTCATCCTCATTTTTCTAATGAAAATATAGAATATTGTAGTTTTCCTTTGTGTAAATAAAACAACATAAGTTACAAACTTGTTGGAAAAATCCGTTATAATTATTTACTAGTCACCTTTATTAACATTATTTATTATTAATAAAATTATATTATATCAAGTTTTAGTTTTTCAAATTTATCTATTCAAAGCGATAAAGAGTGGCTAGAATCAAATTTTAATTAGGAAGATCGGTTTTAATATATTCAGAATATTTCCAGACTGTGAGATCACTTACTGTGCTATGCTAAACTGGTTAGAGTTTTATTATTTAATTATGTATTTGAGATTCTAGAGTTCTAGATCACCAGAAAGTAATTATTGATGAATATACCTTTATTTACTTAACATTTAATCTTTTATGAATTTAATATTAGCTTTGATTATTTACTTATTCTCTTTTATATCCATATTTTTCTTTCTTTTTACTTTTTCCAGTTAAGGTGGATTATTTCTTTACCTGATTGATAACCGTTTGATCAACATTATATAAAATTATAAATTAAATTAAAAAAAAATATTTATATGCCTTCATGGTTTTATTTAAATTTCTTTATATTTGATGTAGAAGTAGTTATAAAAATATCTTGTCAATACTTAAATAGTTTAGTTAAAATAAAATTAATGCATTTATATTTTATTATAATTAACCTCGTGAGGATTTAATAGGTTTTTAAGCTTAATGTGACAATGTGTTAGTTTTTTTTTTTTTTTTTTTCAGATGATATTACACTCACTGCTGATGGTGTTGATAGCTATCATTTAGTCAAGGCTGCTGGAAGATATAAGTAAGTTTTAATAAGCAGCCTTTAATAACAATTATTTTGCGTTGATACTGCAATTTACATATATAAATATGTAGATAACATTTTTTCTTATTTTAAATCTCTTAGCATCAATTCAGTCAGGCCATATGTGACGTATACTCAATCTTATCTTATTTTATCAATATTGTCATTCATGAATTGATTGGTATTATCTAATAAAATAGTTAGTCTCGTGTTGTCCCCTTATATATCATATACTATCTATTATGTCACAGCATTCAAAAACCCAATTAAATAAAAATTTCAATTAACTGTAGCCTTAGCATTAGAAATCTTTGCTGCTGTTAGTAGTCTATATATCCTTATTTTATTTTTGTTAGTGAGAAAAAATAATTATTGGATGAAGTTCAAAATTATAAACTAATTTATCTTTATTTATTATAACCAGTCTATTACTTTCTTATGTTTATAATATTGAGTCTATCAATTTTTATAATACTTTGAGATCAAGATTCTCTCATTTTGTCTTAAAAAATAGTTGCTATTGTGTTTTTTTTATATATAAAAAAAATTCAGTTTTATTATTTAGATCTACATTTATAACTACTTTTAAATAAATTAGATTAATAAATTCAATCTAAGTTATTTAAATTTAATTATTTATTTTGTAAAATAACATATTTTAAATAATAAAAGAATTTTGAATGAATAAAAAATTTAAAGTTTTTATAAGTTAGTGACAAGAATTTACAATTCAGGTACAAAATACATTTTAATGCGGAGCTCCTCAATTAAAATTATGTTATTAACATCCATTATATACTTGACATCTATAAAAAAAGAAATCCAAAAGAGATATTTTCTCCATGAATAAATATTAGCAAATTTGTATGTAGATAATACAATTTATCATTTATTGAAAGTAGATATGACATTAAATAACCCACAGTGAATGATCAATATTGAAAATATTCAAATAGAATATTTAAAACAGGAATAGATAAACCATTTATAAAGAGATGGATTAGTATCAAGCATTTTGATAACTTATCTAAAATGAGTAAGACAGATTATTATGGAAAAATGATTTTAGTTTCAGAATAAACAGATAATAGTAAAGATAAAAGTGATTGTTCTGTCTTGTATTTCCTGTGTTTTAAGACCTTATAATGTACATTAGATTTTATTTTAGCAATTATTCTGAATGTTAATTAACTATTAGCCCTCACTAACATTTATATCCCTTAATAATTTGAAAGCTATGGTAAATTATTAACTATATAAAATCCAATATCTTCACTATTTTGGATCCTTTGTGTATCAATTAGTATTGCTAGCCTCTTAGCAATTATTGATATAATTAAAGAGATAAGATTCCTACATGAGTAATTTTAGATATAACGATAGGATTACTAGTCAATGGGTTGTTTTTTATTTTATTATTATTGATATGGCTAAAAAATCTTTTACTTTATTTTAACTTGATCTACAAATATTTATCTTATGATATTTTTTTCACAGTGTTTTAGTAAATAATAGTTGACTTCTTTGTTTGTTTTTTCTTTTAACTTCTCAGATACTTTTTGAATTTTCATAATATGGTTCATTTCGCTTTAAATTTTATTATTTTCAAAACAGTCTCAATCAATTTTCATAAATTTTAAATGAATAAATTTTAGATACCAGAAAAAATTGCTTGATTTTCTGAAAAAGTTAAACTTTGCTGAACCAGGTGAATATGTTAGTGAAATTTATGTTCTGGAATCCTAGGTTTCTTTCAGAACTTTAAATATCCATTTAGTTGTTCAGATCAATCACCATGTTGGATGATTTATATCATTTAAGGGCTATTTTTTTGTCAAAAAATTCAAAAATATCTGTATCAAGGATATATATATATATATATATCAACTACAGCTTTAACCTTACAGGCGCGAGAATGAAGTGCACCATGCCTTTTTTGGTTGTGATTAATGTTTTTTTTCTGTTGTTCAAATTCTTAATTCTCTATTTTGTACATTAGTATGTATTTATAAAATTTCTAGTAGTATTTATCTATATAAATTTATTGTAACTTATTTTTTTCAGCAATTTTAAACTTAATTTTATGACAGGGAAAAAAAGATTCTTTTTTTTTATATATTCAATATAAGGCAGGGCATATAAAATAAAATAAAAATAAAAATATTTTATAAACTTTAATTTAATAGGTCACATCTGATGGTAAAAAAAAAAGAAGTTAGTTATGTATACTTGATATCTTAAAACATAAACTTAATTACAAAACAATAAAACTTTACTATAAAAAGCAATTCGAAAAATGTAAAAAAATAAATATTAAAAATAAAAAATAATCGTAATCAGATTCGTCTTGCCGATAACACAAAATGCACATAGGCTCAATTACAAAATGGGCTTTGCAAGAGTATTTTTTACACTGAAGACATGTTTTCTTAGTGTTTATATTATTTTTCCTTCCATACATATTTAATGTTCTCATGGCATTTTAAAAACTTCAATTCAACCATAAGCACTAAAAATATTCAAGAAAAACTAAAAGTAGAATATGAGCTGCGCACAGTGTGTGCCACAATAGTTTTCCAAGCAATTTGAAAAGGTAGTGGGGAGTTATAAGGGTCCCGAACAGATAAGAAAGTAGCAAAAGGACAATAACACTTTGAGGCTGCGCCAGCACGCCCGCTCGAAGGTTAAGACTTTAAAATCTAATTATTTGTTTCAAATATATAATAAGTGAAGAGAAGTTTCTGTTCCACTTACAAGATACTGGAGTGTTAATCCATTTATTTTAACAAATGGTTTTACCACCTGAGTTCCGTTATCTTTGTTTACAAAAAGTCCATCCCTTGGTTGAAAAAAAAACGTTTAATCCAAATCTCTCAGTAGGACAAACAAGGAATTTTACAGCCTCATTTTGTTATGTGAGCCCTGCTGTTTTGGAATAACTTTTCCTTCATTTAAGGAGTTTCTGAATTCCAGAGAATAAAAATAAATGACCAATAGGTGTTGATGACCCTAGGATTTTATGCCTTAAAGCCCAAAAAAAATCAAGCTTTTCCCTAATGATCCGCAGTCCTGTTTCCAGCTAGCATTGCATAGGAGAATGTCACACAGGTAGAACATTTCACTAACATCTATCATAAACTTTATTTTCATAAGTATAAGGCATAATCATGAAAATAATTTACTTTTATGAGATGAACAATTGGTTGGTAGGCTTACAACTAAGTTGGTATTGGTTCTTAACTTAATCAAATGAAATCAAAACCTATTACAAGGTCTTGGTTTAATGAATTTCCATTTGTTTTTCCTCCTTTGTTGTTGTCTGATGTAGGGCTTACAATAAGTGATTGTTTACGGCTATTACTGTAATTGAACTGTGAGAAACTGAATGTTTGGTTGAAGTCAGAAGAAGTAAGAATGATACCACTTTTAAAGAGGAAGATCAAGTGAGCAAATATTTGCAATCTGAAATGGAAAAGAAGAAAGTTTAAAAAAAGTTTATTAAATATTTGTTTGCAAATGAGAAGCAGATTGAAAGGAGACAAGAGAAAACTGAGATTCATGGAGAATCATCAATGCTCTGTAGAACAACTGTATTATTCTTGTCCGTGAGTCTTTTTATTCTTCTCCTCAGCCTTAAATGTCCGGGAGCTCCTACTGGAAAACATCCCATAAACAGAGTTTCATTAATTTTAATTAGGTCCCTTAAATAAATACTGCTGCATGGTTGACTCAATTGAAATATACAATAGCAGCCAATCAGAAATGGTATTTCTAGACTTTTTCCAGTTATTAATTTTAACTTCAAATTGGTGCTTTCTTACTAAAACTTTTCTATTTCAAGAATTATAGGAGGAGTACCTTACAACCTCCTCCTGTGAGAAGATATGATGAAACATGCATTGAAGAAAGACAGCTTAACAGGTTTGTCAGGAAATTTTACATTGAGAATTGATGGAGGCCCCTGAAAATGGAAAAACAATATTTTGGAGGATAAGAGGTTGCTGAAAGGATGTTCCTTGATGTTTAGAAGCAAAGTGGTTTCTCCAGGACTACTGACTCTAAATTTTTCACAGGTCATGGAGATTTTTTTAAAACTCCGCCATCATCCCCTGTCCCGAGAAAACTCCGTATGCCCTTTAAGGGGAGGAACCCCTCCCCCCAAAAAAAAATTGGTCATGGAGGCTTTTGAGCAATGGTTCATAACTATACGATGAACATTGACCATGCCCCCTTTGCAGTGTTCTGGAGACTACTGTTCACATTCTCCACCTTTGAAGTAATAAAGGCTAAATTACTTTTGTATATGAGTGGAATGCCATGGTAGGTAAGCCCAGTCCATTTCAATCTCACAAGAAGAAGAGGAACTAGTGGAATCTGATTGAAAAAAACTCTGAATCAAAACAGATAATTCATGACTAATAGACTGTAATTATAATCTTATAATTGCTTGATTATATACTCAGTGCATTGAGAACTTAATGAAAAAGTATATATATTTTCAATGTGAATTGAGCAAAAGCTGTTTTGAAACCAACCATCTTTTTTGACTTATCATGATAATAATGTTGTAGATTATTTTGATGTTACCAGTATATTAATAGTAATGCTTATTAAAATATGTATTAAACAATGTTATTTCTACAAATGTTACCGGTAAATTTGTTATTGAGTATTAAGTTTTTAAAAGTATTACTGTCATTAGTTGTGTCAGAATAGGTTTATACTATATCATGGTAAAAATTTAAATTTTACTTGATTCAAGTTATTAGTTTATAATTGGAATAATCTAAATTTGAATATGGTATATGCAATTTAGAATATACCATAGTTTGTCAATATTTCATCAATTGTTTGGTATATTCATTTTTCAGTACTATTTCTTATATTTCCATATTTTATTTTTCTTGCTAGTCCTTTTAGGCTATTATTTTCGTATTTTTTTTTTTGTTTTATAATGAACTCAGAGAAGTAGAACGAACTAGAGGTGTATCAACTACAGATATAGTTGGAAGAATGCTTCTGTTAACAAGAGAACACTTCCGTCGAGGAGAAAGGGAATATGAAGTCGAAAGAAGACAGTCTACCTCCCTTGGTCTGGATCATACTGCTACTGTACCTTTTACTGCATGTTCTCAGTTCCTACCAACATCCCGAAAAATTATTCAGTTTTCGGAAGGGATGGAACCACAGGTAAACTTCCAAATTTGTGATAATTTTTTTAATAGTTCTATTTAAAATAAAATTGTATGACTCTTGAACTATGTCTTCTGCACTGGTTCCTCTCCATGATTGTTTAGTGATGTCTTAGGCTGACCCCTACTTTTTTTTGTTCAAACTTTCTACATGAAGTAATTTTTATTTAATATAAACAGTACAAACAGGGCCACTACCGGCTGTCCCAGTGTATTTTAAACTGAAATAATATTGAATAGGTAGGAAATCCACCAAATATAACATTCCTAGGTAGCTAAGAGAAACTCTATCATGTAGATGTATCAATAATTTTTTTTTTACCTCCTACTGTTTCAGCTATAATCAAATATTAACCATCAATGTCTTCCTTTCTTGGTAAACACACAATTTCTTGTATATTCAAAATTCTAGGAGGTCTCTCTACCTAATTGGTTATATGTCAATTTTAAAGGCAGGATGTTAAGGTCCAAGTGGGTGTCATGCTTGAGAGTATAAAACAATATATACACTAAAACAATGTATTTTTATCAACTCTTTAAAATTTGAATTGCTTCATAAATCCCACATAGCCCATAAATTTAGCAAAGCTACAACACCTGCAGCTCATATTGTGTTTTCTAGAAGATTTGAGATGATTAGAATTTATCTATTGTTAGATCACATCAAACTTCAAAGAGATTTCTCTATAAATTGGTGAACAATTGTATGGTACTCTCACTACATATCACTACACTCACTCATATACACTAAAACAATGTATTTTTATCAACTCTTTAAAATTTGAATTGCTTCATAAATCCCACATAGCCCATAAATTTAGCAAAGCTACAACACCTGCAGCTCATATTATGTTTTCTGGATGATAATTACATTTATTAATAATTTGAGATAATTAGAATTTATCTATCATTAGATCACATCAAACTTCAAAGAGATTTCTCTATACATTGGTGAACAATTGTATGGTATAATTATATCTATGTATAGTTTTGTTAAATTTCATATCTTTGTGTTTTTAATTTTTTACTCATCTAAATTTAATCGATACCCTTCTGCTAATTAGTAATTGGAAATTATATTAAAAAAAAAAAATAGCTTATCCCTTACAATCCAAGCTTTTAATATTTAATAAACAGAGATTTTTAATATTTCGATATTTCAGCTTCTCAATAGCTTTAATATTTGATACAGAGAGGGTATACAAACAATTATTATATTTTTATCAGCTCAAAAAATGATGATTATGACATCTGAAAACATACAAATTTTATGAGGAGTTAGTCGAGGGTGCGATCAAATAAATAATAAATTAAAATGTATTAATTATTTTAATTTTTGCCGATGTTTCGACCCACTTTGCAGGTCCTCTTCAGGGCAGTATGAATAAAAATAAAAATAAAAATAAATATTTATTTTTATTTTTATTCATACTTATTTTCCATTTATTTGTATCTTCTACATATATAATTCTTAATATTTAACTACATTGTCACCCACTATATCTCTGATACCATCTTTTATTTCTGTATCTGACAACTTCTTCTTATTTTATATATACTTATATTTATTTTTTATTTTCAACATGTTTTGTATCTTTTGTAGCCCTGAAGACGACCTGCAAAGTGGGTCGAAACGTCGGCAAAAATTAAAATAATTAATACATTTTAATTTATTATTTATTTGACTGCACCCTCGACTAACTCCTTCTCATATTATATCAACGGTCAACCATCTCTACATCATACAAATTTTATATTTATTCCAACCAATCAGTTGAAAGTTAAAAAAAAAGTTTTGATATCATGTCTTTAAATTTTTGTGGATCTTGGTCATAGTTTTATTAGATTACCCTCTGATTTGTAAATAGTGATAAAACTGTGATATTAAAGATTTAAAAAAATTACTTAGCAAAAAAAAAGTAAAACTGAAAAAAAAAACCACTTTATGATTGAATGTAAATTTTTAAATAAATTCAAATGTGCATTTTGGCATAACAGTATATTTTGAAATTAAATCTCTGTGACATTGAATGACACTTTAATTAATAATTACAGGATTACAAGCTATTATTGGATGCAAAATTATCTGGAAAGAAGTTCATTAATATTTATTGTCGTATAAGTCATTTAAAAGTTTACTCTGAAAATGTCATTACACTACTGCCCCATATTAACATTTGATTAATTTAATTAATTCTTTATTTAATCAAAGAACTTTTGATTTTCGAAGGAAAAGTGAACTTAACAGTTTCTGATTTAAATCGTGCCATAAAGCATCCTAATTATTGATGATTAGTATTAAGGTCTAATTTTTTTTTACCTTTTTCCAGAAAGGTGATGTTGTGGTATATGTAGCTGGAGCTTTTGATCTTTTCCATACAGGGCATCTCGATTTCTTAAAAAAAGCCAAAGAGCAAGGAGATTTTCTGATCGTTGGTCTCCACACAGATCCTACTGTCAACAGGTTTATTTTTATTTAGTTTCATAAATATAAATTAACCATAAATTTCTTAGTAACGATTTCTGGCTGTAAAGTGTTTATTATTGATTATACAAACCAACTTCTTAACTTTTGTTTAACTTACAAACCAACTTCTTAACCTCACAATTAATGGCTTACAGAGAGGTTCTAGAGGTACCACCAAACTTATTGTAATCAAAGTGGGAAGGTCAAGATTCATTTGGTGGGTTCACCACCTGTCCAGGCCAGATTCAAACGGGCATCGCTATACTTGAGAATGTTAAAGTTTACACTTTAACGCATTCGATGTTTGCAACCTCACCAACTTCTAAACTGTTCATATTGAAAAATTAAAAACATAGATTGCTTCACTTGTCTAAATTACTCATTTTCTCTTACAATTCATTGCAATCGTTCCTCCCCTCCTCCCTCTTATATGTTTGTTGCCTGGCATTGTCATCAGCAAAGCTTTGTATAATTACTGGTGAGTCCAAAAAAAAGGTTGGGGAGTCCAGTTTTGTGGAGAACTGGTTATATCTAGGAGGAAGAACTAGAAAAATAAAGAAGAAAAACAATTGAACTTTAAAAGCTCTATTTATATATACTAAAATCCTTGATTAAGAATCAACTCAGTAAATTAAAATAAGTATTGAGAGTAAATCAAGGAATATAAAACCATGTTTTCTTAATATTTAAAGCCAGAATTATTTGCTTAATAATGTTAATCAATTCAATTCCATTAACAGAGCCTAAAATAATATAGTTTTGAAGAGAGACCAGAAAGTTCTCATAATAAATCTGATCCCTAAAACATTAATTCTTGTTAACGTATATTTTGATAAACACGTTAACTGCAACTTCAGTTTATTTTCATTAAGCTGAAACAATGAGACAGGAAACCTGCTCTATTCATAATTATAACTCAGACCCTTATCTTCAAAAAACGAAATTTTTTTTGGCTTATATATAGAATTTAAGAATTCTGTTTTGTTTAAAGATGCTTGAAAATAGAAAATTTTGATTCTTCACTCCAATGTTAGTTTATGTAGTTATTTAACCATTGGTGTTCCTTTTCTTCACTTTATATCTAACTAATTGTACCTAGTTCTCTACCAGTTCCTGTTTTATTAATACAGTGAATCAACTGAAAAGTGAAATTTATTTATGTGAATCCTTTTAGCATCTAGGCACAGATATGTAGATTTGGTATGGCATAATATCTAGCTATTTATCATGCTTAGCACTCTACACTTGTTAACTATATAAGTCTCTATATTTATTATATTTTGGATGGAAATGAATTTATGGCGTCTGCAGATTATCCTACTGCCTGTTATGTTTTGGAATTTTAAATGTTACTGCTTTTGTTTTTAGTTCAAATTTTATTTAATCTGTCCTTAAATTCTGTTATAATCTCAGTGGTGTTAGTCGTTTCTAACCTCTAGCTAATCCCATAAAAAAAAAAAAAAATGGTTTTTATAGAATTAGACTGTTATTCTAGTTGGTAGTTAAAAATACGCCTCTAAACTATAGCAATATTTTTGAATTATTTCTAATCACCTCAATGTTTTTCAGGTACAAAGGCTCTAATTATCCAATCATGAATCTTCATGAAAGAGTTTTGTCTGTTCTGGCCTGTCGAGTAAGCATTTTGAATTTTAGTTTTATTAATTGCTACATTTGAATTATTTTCTAATGTGCTCTTTAGTATGTGAATGAAGTGGTGATTGGTGCTCCATATGCTGTCACTGAGGAACTGATGTCACATTTCAAAGTTTCACTAGTCTGTCATGGGTCTAAAACACCGATATCAGATGATACAGATGGTTCAGACCCTTACGAATTACCAAAGAGAAAGAATATTTTCAAACTTTTAGATTCAGGAAACTCAACAACAACGGAGACAATCGTTGAAAGAATAATTAAGCACAGGTAATTTTTTTTATTTAGAGTATTTCCAATATTTTCAGGATATAATATGGATTTAAATAGTGTATTTAACCATTTAGAGCTCATGCAATTATTAAAAGTGCTTTAAATCAGTAATCGGTAGTATATCGTAGTATCTTTCAATTTGTTGGAGGGTCATATATTTCTTAAAACCAGAGATTATTAATTATTATTGGAATAAATTAGTTTTTAAGCTTTTTAAATTAAAATAGATTAGTAATCATAATCCATTATTTTTATTTAATTAAAAATTAGTTGGTAACTATTAAGAAACTTGAAACTTTGGCATCAGCTCATAAATAGGAAAAAAAAAAAAAAAAAAATGCAAGATACATCATTTGATCATCTCATAGAATAAAAAATCTGGTGTGTCCACTCACACGACTTTCCTACCTATTTCAGAACATTTTTTATATCCTTACATATGTCCATAAAGAAACAAAAAAAAATTGAAATAGATTTATTTTCCTGAAAATTGATCAAAGAAAAGATTTGAGTACGATTTATTTGATAAATTAAAGCAATGTAAACTGGCTTAAGGTAGATCAGTATAAAAATTTCAATATCCTCTAATATTGCTGATCACAAACTTTTTGCCATAGCCTAATTTTGTCAAACAATAATTTCTTTTAAAATACAGGAAATTGTGAAGCTTGTGTAATACAGGCAACAGATTTTCTTACTTTCACTTAGTTATTTTTTTCTCTCATTCACCCCCTTCTGACACCAGGATATGAACCCGTAATCTTACATTAAAAATTGAATAGCTGTAACTTCGTTAATAGTTGTCCGAAATGAACGATTTTTATATAGTTTTGTAAGGAATTTCATTACCTATAAAAAAAAAATTTCACTCAGGGAGCTTTGAAACATATAGATCCGTCGAAAACCGCATAAGGGAAATTTTACCCGATCAAAATACTTTCCTTAACTAATATAGGTAGGAAAATAATAAATTAAAATAGAAAATAGAATAGGCTATATCATCACTAATACTGGTTTGATTCCGATAATTTTTTGTGTTGTTGGCGATTTAATTACATTTCAAAAGTTATATTCTAAATTTTACCATAGAATACATACTTAGCGAGTTAGGCCCCAAAACATTTTTCTTTTCTTTATAACTTTGTTTCCTGAATTTTCTTGGGAATTAGTCCATATACGAAAATTGAAAGGGCAATTATTAGGACATTATAGGAAATTTTTATCAAAATCGTTAGAGCCGTCTTCGTGCTACAGTCTATAGCGAAACAAGTTTTTCATTTATTGCGCAGGAGCTATTGCACATGGAGCATCCAATTTGTGTCACAGGCATCAGTAGTCAAAGGCCTACAAAATAAAAAAAGAAGCAACAAAATCGGTTCTCTAGTTCCCGAGAAAATGTGGCACAGGCAGACAGACCAATGGCTAAAAATATGTTTTTTGGACTTAGGGGGCTCTGAAATGTATAGATCCATCGAAAACCGCATATCGGAAATTTGACCCGATCGCAATACTTTCCTTATCTAGTATAGGTAGGGAAGTAAAAAATATGACTGTTTTTGGATTATTATTTTCAATTATGAACCATTGTAATTGATCAAAAAATTCAAACCATAACTCCCTCCCCTATTAACGTAAAACCCGAAAATCCAATAAATAAATGTCTTTCTAGCATCTTGTAATATGCACTTTTTTTGTAATGTATATACAGAGTCTCCCGTAGATAGAGGGAAATATTTAAATGGTTGATAGTAGATATCAAGATCTACAAAAAGGTTTAAATAAACAATTGCCTAATTGCCAGTAGAAAAGTAGGAAGTTAAAATTTGTGTTTATTTAAACGAGTAACATTTTTCGTTGAATAGGAAGCGATAATATAAAAATATTTGATTTAAGTAGCTAAACATTGCTCCATAGTAAACTAGACAAAATTTACTCTAAACGTTAGTAGATTTTGTCATTGTTAAAACTATTTAAAGAGGACTGTTGAGCAGCTAAACACAGCTAAGGTATATTTAAAAAAAAGTCATACATTATTTGTGATTTTTTTTTTATCACCATTTAACTGTTCTATATTTACCCCACTTTTCAAAAACTTCCTGGTTAAATAAGCTTTAAGTATATATTAATTAAATTGAGGATTATTAGGAAAAAATTTGTGATTCACCTCAAGTTGTGTAAAGAAATGTGATATCCTATCTTGTCACCTTAAAGTACCCATGTTTTCTGCAAAAATGACTAAAATTAACTATTGCGGGATGTATTGTAATAAATATAATTGCCTATAAATACATTTTATTTATAAATATAAAAAAATTTAAAATAATGATTTTAAAAATATTTTTCACGTAATGTGGTTATGAAACCATATCTATGTTTTTCTCCCAAATCTCCATCATAGAAATTGATATGTATTTATCAGTGACAAATTTACTGTTTCGTACTAAAATTTATATTTAAAATAAATACATCTACTAATTCCTTCAATTATTTTCATGAAAATGTAAATATTAGAGCTAGAAACATTAAATTTGTCACTTATAAATATACATCAATTCCTATGGCAGAAATCTAGGAGAAAATCATCATCATCTTACATAAAAAATATTTGAAAAATCATTATTTTTAAATTTTTTATTTTTATAAATAAACCGTGTTTTTAGGCAATTATGTTTATTATAATAAATTCCATATCTATGAAAAACAAGAAATAAAAGCTTTGCAACAGTTGATTGTAGTAATTTTTGCAGAAAACAGCGTACTTTGAAGTGACTGGATAGGAAATCACATAATTTCTTTACACAACTTGAGGTTAATCTCAAAGTTTTTCATAATAAACTTCAAATTAATTAATATGTACTTAAAGCTCATTAGATGAGGAAGTTTTTGTAAAAGAGGAGTGAATGTTGTGCAGTTAAAGGGTGAGAAAAAAAAAACCACAAATAATTTATGACTTTTTTTAAAAGGGAACTATAAGACCTGGATTCTGACTAGCATCTTTGAAAGATTTAGGATGAAAGTTCTCCTCACAATAGCTAGAGCAATCTAGGATCAGAGTGCTAACACATGAAAGAGCAGGGCCAATGAAGAATACCTTACAGAAACTGGTCTTTCTGTATCTCATGATATGAAGTTAATGAGATTAAGATGGGCAGAAAGTACGGTTCAAAGCAATCGATCAAGAAGCCTTTACTCAACAATGAGTGCCAACAAAGTTGGTAAGAGAACAGATGAGAGGCCAAAAAGCAGATGGATAGATAGAGTCAACAAAGATGCTACTGAGCTGCATGTAGCGAATTGGAAAGAAATAGCCCAAGATTGAGAGAAGTGGATAAGGCTGGTCCAGGCTTCCAATTTTCTACAGGATCTATAAAGTCAAAAGGAAAAAGTAAAATTGAAATTGATTTTTAAATATGTCTTTTTAAAACTTTAAAATACTAAAAATGTATGATATCGAGTGCAAACAGTTGTTTTAAGGAAAGAAGTGTATTTCCTAAATCTAAATTTATAATTTTTTTTTTTACCAAAATCATATGTTAATATTTTAGTAAATATTTGATTTCATTTATGATATAGATTCCTAACTGGGTTTTGCCATTTAAATGTTATAGTACTTAAAATCAAATTATATAGTGATGTAAAACTGGGAGTACTAAACTGTAGTGTGTGGTTGTGGTACAGGTCTCTTTTTGTCAAGTTATTAACATCTGCCTGAAAATTTGTGAATGGATTCATCTCATCGTAACCTACAACTTTTTATTTTTCAAAAATTCTCGGAATAGTGGCGTTTTCAATCTGGAGAACAGCAAACTTTGTCTATTTAATTAGGTACTAAAAACGCATGAAAACCCATTTGTTTTCCACTTGAATGGTAAGATAATTTGATTCCAAAATCAAGAATAAAGATGGCCTACAAAAATATTGGGTCATTTGGCGTGACCTCCATCCCATGTCTAAATAACGACGTTATATTATAACGGCTTAATATTTTTGGAGGGCTCCTTTTTCTTTTATTTTGTTATCAAATTATCTTATGATTTTAGTGGAAAGCCAATGGGTATTTAGTACCTAATTAAATTAGAAAATGCCTCATTTCTGAGGATTTTCATTGATAAAGAAGTTTTAAGTTACGATAAGATGAAACCATTCACAAAGTTTAAGGTGATGTTAATAATTTGATAAAAAAGGTTATGACACACAGATCACTGTACAAATAAAAACAAACAAAAAATCGTGAAATAATTTTTTTAATTTATTTAAGCTAGCTTTCATGTGTATTTATTATAAAAACACACATAAATGTATGTATGGAGAGGGAGAGTCACATACTCTAAGAGTTCACATGTTCACTACAAAGAAGTAGCAGATCCAGGATTGATTTTTCGGTAGCTTGGTTTTTTTTTTCAGTTTTATTTTTTTTAAATTTTATTAACAGTAATTACTCTGGAAGAAACAGATATAAACTATATAAAATAATGTTTATATGGTATTTGAAGGCCTATTAAAAAAAATACTTTATACAAGAACAATAATGCTTTTTATTTTTTTCTGGACTTGTTCTTACATTTAATAGCTGGAATACATTTGTTATAATTTAAAAAGGTTAAATAAATTGGTTGTCTATTTTGCTCAGAACGCTCAGTCAATATGGACCAATGAAAAAAGGTTCATTTTGGGGGACACAAAAATCTCTCTCCCCCTCCTCATGAATCTGCCAATGCTACAAAACATTTATTTCATTTATACGACCTCTCTATCAGAATGATATAACTTATCTGCTCTATTTTGTTATCTAGCTATAAATATCATACAGATTTTATAACCAACGGGATGTTTGTCCTTGCAGTAATTTGTTCAAAGAATATTGCGAGAAAAGTTAAGATAAAGAAATATAGTCTCTTTTTTCTTCTATTTTAGCCATAGTAATTCTTGAAATAAAAACGAAACTGTCTATCATTCATCACTTTATTTAATGAATCAATTCACTCTTAAACATTTTA